TTTTGTCACTGGAGAAACTGGGCTACATTTTTCACTGGTGAAATAAATAGGCACTAGAGTGGTTTTACTAGGTATAAACCTTCCCTGTAATGTATAATGGGCAGTTTCCATTGCAATTAATGATCAAAGGACACTTACACATAAGTGACTTGTTTATTGTACCATGGAAAAGATGAGCTACTGCAGTAATCTAAGGCTGGCACGATTTAACTAGGAGCCTGTGCAAAGAGCAAATGGATGTAGAAAAATCTCATGCCTCATTAGTCAAAGAGAAACTTTCTCATTTCTTCTGTTGGGACAGAATACAAATTGAAATGTCTATGGGATAAATGAAGACTGAGTCAACTGAACACTTAAGCATAACATGAAATCTTGCTCCTTCTGAACCTCTGGCTTTGGTGTACATTAGGAAAGCTTCAGAACTTGATATCGCAACTACAAAGACATACTGAGCATAAAAATATGACTTTGTGGGCTTTCTGGTTTTTTGTTCTGAATTAAATGTAAATGAGTGTCTCCTTAAATATTTCTAAAGAGGAGGTGCCAAATTAGATAAATTAATATTCAGTGCAGAGACTAAAAAAACACTCTGTTGCTATAGCTTGAAAAACACTGCATGAGCCAGTGGAATTACTTTGTAATTGTGACCCTCTTAGTCTGCATGCATGTGGTTAGTTTCCATTGTATTCAATGGATGTGATCAAAGAAAAGTGATATGATTGTCTGGTTACTTGGTTTGGTTTTTGTTAATACAAAAGAAATTACACTGGCTGTCACATTTGTGCCTTCTCAGTGGTTGCAAAAGCCTGAACACTGACAGTGTGAACTGGCGGCATTTGAGCTGGGAGCCCACTGCATTTTGCTTATGGCATCTTTTTCACCTTACATTATCTTTTTATGGAGCATCCTCTGAGCAGGAAGAAGGGCTTATTTGCATGAGAGTTAAAGGTGTTTTGGTGCTTCATGTAATTTTTTTTTTTTTTTTTTTTTTTTACTGCAAATGTCCCAAAACTCAAGTTCAAAATGAGAGGTGATAAGAAAAACAGTTAAGCAGAGTTATTTGTTGAGCAGTAGCCTGCAAATGTCCCAAAACTCAAGTTCAAAATGAGCAGTGATCAGTAACACAGTTAAGCAGAGTTATTTGTTGAGCAGTAGCAGATGGAATGGATTGGTGCATTTGATCATGACTGGAAATGTCACATGGAGCCTTTCACATAACTGAGTAGAGGGCTGACCACTTGGCAACTCAACTGGTCTTGTCTTTGCCTCAGTTCTGTTTTCAAAAGAGAAAATGATTTAAAAAAAAATTGGTTTTTATTTTTTTCATTACAATGCTTTTTAACCACTGGAACATGATGTTAAGTGTTTATATTTCTCTTTATAGGCAATGATGAGCAAGTTATACTCCATGATGTTGAAAGGTAAATAACACAGTTTGTGTTTCCACTGCTTCAAGAGCTCACTTAATGTCAACTTACTGGAGGCACTTTTTGTTTTAAATTAATGGTATGGGAGAAGAGCACAGTGTTATAATCCTGAAACATGCTTTGTGTTAATCTAAATTCATATCTGGAATGAAGTATTCCTCATCACCCCATTTTTTTTCAGCACTTGGGTTCTGCATCGCTTTGACTGTGGGAAAGAGAATGGTTATTAAATACATATGTTCTCCTGCAAGCAGCATAGTAGGTTCTGACTAACTTTAGAGCCAGGTTATTCTGGCACATATACAAGTATTGTGGCACATGCGGGCTTTTTGTTTTGTTTTTCAAAACACTCACCTGACTTGTATTTAAGATAGCTAGTGCTTGGCTTACCTAGCTACCTTTCAAAACTTTGGCTGCAGCTGCCTGATTCTCCTGCTTCACTAATGTGAAGCATATTTATTTTGATACTTATTTTTTACCAAAATTGCAAAGCAGTTGGGATTTAGGCTTTGTTGTGCTACATCAAAATTAGGCTGTTAGTCAAAATATAATTAATACAGTAGTGGTAATGTATCAGACAGGAGTTCTCTAGATATCATGTCTTTTGAGCTTACTGCTTTTGACGTAGAAGTTAAAATTTTGGTCTGTACTAATAACTTCTACAGTTTTAAGTAATGACCGTTTAAATAACATGAACTCAAGAAAATGAAATATAAAGAAAAAGCAGGAAGAGATATATGTAAGAACAGAGAAATATAAAACCTTAAATGTTTTTGAGTTGCCTGACTCCTGGTTAACCTAATTTGGACATATTTCTTGCTAGGTTTGTCCAAAGCCTTTTTCATTGAACTGATCAGTGTACATCTGCCTTTCATCACACATTATATCTACTTCTTGTATAAATCTTACATGAGAGCTGGGCAAAAGTAACTTTGTCTTACTCTTCTAATGCTTTCTCAGGAATATTATGTTGTTTGCCAAGTTTGATTTGGTTTGACTTTTGGGGGTTTGGGGTTTTTTTGGGGGGGTGGTTTTTGTCTGTTTTTTGTTTGGTTTGGGGAGGGTTTTTTGTTTGGTCTTTTGGTTTTGTTGTTTCTTTAATTAAATGTGGAAATGTCAAAATTTTAGATGCTGGCGTTCATTGTGTTTTGACTTTTCAAGCTTCTACAAGATCTTTGTCCTTGACAATTTTCTATATAACACTTTTTTTCCAGCTATGTCTTGCTTAGATGTTTTAACAAGTCTTTTTGATATGTATGTATTTTTAACTTGCTTTTGTTATCAGGGTTTTTTTTTTAAGGTATGCTAAGTCCAGTTGTAATACCTACAGAATTCATTCCTCTAAGGCTATTTGCATGATCTTCTGAAAGAAACCTTACTAGTCTGACACACTGAATTCTGATTGATTTCTATAGAAAATTACTCTGTCTTCTTGAATGATAACACTTGGTCTATCAACTGCTTTTTCATACTTTTAAATGGCTTTTTCCGATACTGCTTTTTTTGGCCTTTCTGTTAATGGTCCATGAGACAGAATTAGTAGATCTGTCACTATGTGAACTGGCATGTGAGCAAAACACTGATTTTACGTGTGATCGCTTTGGTGGCATTTCCATGAGGTATGGGGATTGTATACAGCATGTATTCTCTAAAGAAATAAAGGGATTTTGCCAAAGAAATAAAACAACCCCAGAATCTTCTGTCTTAGTATTTTAGCTTTTGGCCTCTCCATGCCACTGTTTCCTCCTTGTTAAATGATCTAGAAAGTTGGGAAAAGAGCGGAGAATGGGCTTTTGCCTTTTTATAGCTGTGGAATACCTGAAATCTAGGTACTTTTGGGGGAGTTATTTTTATTTTGTTCTTTTTTGCTGCTTTTTCTACATGGAAAAAAATAGGTCTGGTCTATCCTGAGGAACCAAGAAAACTTATGAAAAAAGTCAGCTGGAAAGTTGCACTTTTGTAAGCTTCAGCTGAACTTTTGAACGATACAGAAGCCTGTATTAAAGAAGGAACTTCTGTCTTGTTTTCCTTTTTACATTAAGTAGTAAAAATTTAGCCCACAGGTCCCAAGACCTCCTTCCCTTTCCCATTACCACCTCCCAAGCTTAATTTAATACAACATGATTTCCATAGCATCTTGCAGTTTCTGAAGTTTTTAATGTGTGGGGTTTGGTCTGAGGGTTTTTTCCCCTCACAGTGTGACATCTTGGTCATTCTACATGGGCTTTTTGTTTGTTTTTTACTCTAATGAAACACAAGGGTGGTCTTATGAAGTTACATAAACCTGACGAAGTATTACTAGGGACATAAAGCTGTAAATACTTTGCTTTTTAAAACAGCAGAAGAAGGAAGAATGATAATACTGTGTGTCTTTTTTCCAGCACTGAGACCTTGGATGTGTTTGCCCATGAAGATGCAGTGTACGGCCTTTCAGTGAGCCCAGTAAATGACAACATCTTTGCCAGTTCATCAGATGATGGCCGGGTTCTTATTTGGGACATCCGAGAGTCTTCCCATGGAGGTGAGATCTGTAGATGGAAAAGATCATTGATTTAGCAAGAATTTGGGCAAGGCAGGGAAGGGAAAAGTTATGTTTACCTGGGACAATCAAGACACGGAGTGTTGGAGAAGGGTGAAAGTGAGGCATAATTATTGTGGCTGGTGATAGGCAAGCCCTGGTCTTTACAGTTCAGCGTTACTGTCTTAAATGACTTCATAAAGTATCAGCATATAGTGCAGGCTAGCATAGAACTTGGTATGGACAGGTTTTAACTTGAAGCAGTGGAGGATATGTTTCTTTAATAAAAACGTCTTGCTAAACTTCAAATCAATTAGGAATGTGGATTTTTTTTGTTGTTTTTGTCTATAGCCTGGGATAAAAAACTTTTGCGTGTTTAGAAAGCTGTTATTTTGATTTAAATAATTTTCCAAAGCTATTTATATACTTCCCTGTCACACTGATAATTGTTCTTATGCGTAATGTTTTCTGGTTGTGTGGAAACTTAGAGCCCTTATGTGATAACAGGGAAGTTGAATTATTACTTCAATCTCTGTTTTCTAAAACAGAACTGAATACTGTTGATTTATGTAACAAACCTGCAGCTTCTCAAAACACTGCAATCTGTGTTTTTACAGCTGCAGTTTTAAGGCTGAAGAATCTCAGTTTAGAACTGTAGTTATATAAATTTGGAGAAGAATACTTCAGTAATTGAATTTCAGAATATGAACACTTAAGTAATACTTAAGTAAATGAAGTTGTGAGTTTACCCCACCCTAAAGAACACAAAGCTGAGAATTTAAAACTGAGCAATCTGCAGGAGTACAGAATCTGGTTGCCTCCCTTCATAGCTAAAATAAACTTCCATCTTTTTTTGTAAGCTGGTTAAACGCAATTGTCTCAACTCATAGTTTCTACTGGTCTTACAGGAAAGTTGTCTATGGCACTGAAATCCAGTTGTTGGGTCAACGTTGCTGTTTAACTGAATTAGCTTTTTCCATACCTAGTGAATTTGATAACTTTCTAGACTGCCATTTTGTCCCTTTTTGACTAGGAAATGAAAGCTGAAACAAGACATACTTTATAGTCTCACAGGAGTCTTTTAGAGCCACTAGTATTATGAGGGCTTTATTGAATGTGAGTGACCAGAATTAGGTCTTTCTTGATAAGCCCCACCAGAATACTTGGAGTAGATTGCTTATTGATGCCCTCCCTACCCCAGGCCTATTGCTTTTGTATAAATAAAATGTAAACATACTAGCACTGCATTCAATTTGCAGTAGTCTGAATCTTATTGTGAATGTGTGAATGTGAATATGTGAATCTGATTCTCTTCTGCAATTGTGATACCCCTTATATTTTTCACATCTGGTAGTTTTATTAAAACGTTCTGAAAAACAATGCACACAGTATATGTACATCACAGACTGTAATAAAAATATCTATAATGTCTCTTCTCTGTCTTTGAAGAACTTACTAATAACCTCTGCCTTGCTCAGAAGTCCCTCACTAGCACAGTGAACTGTTGCCTTCCCTTCAGCCAGTTTCTTACCCCATACAACTCCCTTTGCTAATCCCAACTGCCTGTACCTAAATTTGATACTATACCACATATGAATTTAGTCCTCATTAGATCTACCACTTTTCTCCTGTATAAGAAGTCAGTTACTTTATCAAAGAAAGAGATCAAATTAGTCTGATGTGACTGATTTACCTTTGGTAAATCCAAGTGTCACTTCATCCCTATTTTTCTGTTTTCGTAATATCCAAGTGATGAGACAGATGCTGAATATGGCTTCCAAATTAGAAATGGTGAAATGCTCCTTTATTGCCTTCTCCTGAACTCTACACCGTAAAGGTCTGCCTCTGTTAGGAGAGCTACCTGTTGCTGACAGTGGATGTCAACAGTTGGTGTGACTGGATGCTTAAATGCATCTGTATGAAGCTGCTCAGTATTGTAATCTAATGTCCAATCTGATCTGAGTTTCTGAAACTGTATGAAGTGAGGTTTGTCCTTCTTTGTTGTAGTTAAACCTTGCTACTCCTTTTACTGTTGCTGAGACTTTGAATGAGAAGGCTTGTTTCAGCTGGGATAGAGTTAATTTTCTTCCTAGTAGCTGGCATAGTGCTGTGTTTTGGATTTAGTATGAGAATAATGCTGATAACACGCTGATGTTCTAGTTGTTGCTAAGTAGTGTTTATACTAGTCAAGGACTTTTCAGCTTCCCATGCTCTGCCAGGTGCACAAGAATCTGGGAGGGGCACAGCCAGGACAGCTGACCCAAACTGACCAAAGGGCTATTCCATACCATATGACTTCATGCTCAGTATATAAACTGGGGGGGGTTGGCCGGGGAGCAGTGATTGCTGCTCGGGGACTAGCTGGGCATCAGTCAGCGGGTGGTAAGCAATTGCACTGTGCATCACTTGCTTTGTTTATTCTTTTATCATTATTATTGTTACTTTCTCATCCTCTGCTGACTTATTAAACTGCCTTTATCTCAACCCACGGTTTTTACTTTTTTTCCCATTCTCTCCCCCATCCCACTGGTGGGGAAGGCGAGCAAGCGGCAGTGTGGTGCTGAGTTGCCGACTGGGGTTAAACCATGACAAGGCTGCACCAGTGAAAATAGAGTGAAGAAGTGTTGGCTGTGGTACATTTGGGGATTTTTTGGAGCAGTGTCTTAGGTTCTCTGAACTTTAAGTAAAGGGCTTTTGCCTGTTTATATAGGAGTCCTGAGTCAGCATTTATGTGAGCCCTGCCAATGTTTAGTACAACATAATGCTTGTCACTGGGGTAATCCCCTAATCCTGCAGTGGTATTGTCATGGGAATAGGTGCTATGCCTGCCAGTGTGTAAGTACAGTTAGTTACCCAGAGTGGCCAGCTCATTAAAATCTTGCAAATAACCTCCTAGTTTAAAGTAGTGCATTAAAAGAAGCTGGAAAGGGAGTTTCATTCCCCTTCTTTTTCTCCCTGTCTTTCACTGCTGAGTGATTTATGCAGTAATTTTTATAAACCCACTTTTAATTTTTGTTGGATATGGTGTTGAGCTTCTCCCTTGAGAAACATTTTCATACTCCAGTGTATAAGAGCTAAAATTGTGAATGAGCATAAAGAACAGTAAAAAAAGTAATCCCCCTACTTTTCATTAAAGTGACTTAGTGCCTCATTAGTTTAGCTCCTGTAATCTCTCTTTAATTTGACAGGCTGAAAGGCAACTTTTGATATCTTGGAAGAAAACCGTGGTACCAGGCCAGGCTATTTATAATAAAGGGGTGAAGGAAAACACCAGTAATTAGTGACAATGATTTGACTAAAGAAACGTACACAAATTAAAAGTTTATTTTAAAAAACAACTCCTTTATTTGGCAATCTGATGTTGTCTCTCCACTCAGCTAATGCAGGCCATTGCTTCTCAGTGGGGGCTGCCATTTTAATAACACAGTCTTTTATGTCCCAGCAGGGATCTGATTTGATGATGGGAATGTAGAAGGTCAGTTTTGGTGTTAAACCTTATTTGGAGCTGCTGGCAGACCAACAGCAATCTCTAAAGTCTTGGGGTAGGCTGGCAGAACAAAAGTTTGCTCCTGTTCTTCCCTTTACCTCTGCCTCCTGTGACAATTAATAGCACCAGTGAGCTTCAGCCGTGGTCAGAGACCTTTGTTTTGATCACTGCTAAATGGACACTAAAAAAGAAAGTCTCTGTGACAAAAAGCTTGTAATAGAGCGTAAGAGGGGCAGGACAAGTAAACATTAATTCTGTCTCAGTTGCTTGATGGGCAGTAGTTTCAGAAGGTAGTGGGAATTTGGGAGGGTTATCTGTTTAACCATGTTTTCTATGTCTTAATGAGGGATATGAGGAAAGAAAATGAAGTACCTGCGGAGGTGCTTGTGGGGCTAAATGTGCCTGCACGCAGTGGCTCAAATAAGGGCAGTAAGAGAGTCTCCCAAGCACGTGAGCAACACAGTGGTTGCATCAAAGCAAACAGTGAACGGAGAAGTCTGGCATAATCCCTGGCTCAAAACAGGCATTGATTCTTGTTTCTTAGTTGAGTGAAAGAGTGGCAGCATGCCACGAAAGATACACACAACAAAGAGAATTAGCCTGTGCCTAAAGCCATAAAGCTAGCAGAAAGATACAGAGAAGGATTACAGAGTCAAGGCTTTTTCCCACTCTTCATGGAGGCAGCATTTTGACAGAATGAATAGGACAGAGTAGCAGGCCAAACACAGTCTTGTTACTAATCAAGCTGAGAGGGAGGGAGTCTGAATGAGCATGTTTTTAACTCTGTCTGAACAGCAAAAGCCGACTGCTACCATTTTTATGCAAGAGGAACACCCTTCTTGTCTACTTGTACAGCTGTTTGTACAGCACTTAAGAGGTGGCAGGCCTCTTTTCCCCGGGGTTGGCAGCTTGCTTTGAGCCGAGTTCCACACAAACTTTATTTCATTTTTTGTAATATTATTCTCCCATATAAGCAATTGCTGCTACATTTACAGTTTGGGTGATCATCAATGGCTCTGGAAGCTTCCAGGTATATATATTGCTAGGCAACTTCCAGAAGCCCCTTCTGTGTAGTCCTTGTTAGATGACTGTTTGGTCATGAACCTTAAGAAGATTCAAATACTTTATCTTTAAGTGGCTAGTTTTAAACTCTGATAACCTTCCATAAGCAAAACATTGTCTTGAAATCCAGTATGTGTCCTTTTCCATATTTAGACAAAGTTAATGTATACGTGGGTGGATTTTGAAACCTCGGTTTTTATACTGCTTTGGATGTGTCAGCTTGAGAAATGGTTTGAACATGTCTCCATATCTCCAGATCTTGTTATGCTGTTTCCATATTAAGCTGCCAAACTCATTGCATCGAACAGTTGTATGCATTGTTTGTTCTTATGTCTGAAATGTCAATTTTTTCAACAGAGCCCTTCTGCTTGGCACACTACCCATCAGCCTTTCACAGTGTGATGTTTAATCCAGTAGAACCCAGATTACTGGCTACTGCCAACTCTAAGGAAGGTGTGGGTCTCTGGGATATTCGTAAACCTCAGAGGTAAGATCTGGCTGTCCTTGTCTTGCGTCGTGCTATTTCTTTCCCTTGAGAGGTGATGGCATGGCACTCTCTCTCTTTTCTTTCTTTTTTTTTTTTTTAAGTCAGACTGTATGATGGTAAGATGCAGAACAAAGTTAACAGCAATGTTAGTAATGCTGAATTAAATTACTTTGCATAATTAGCATTCTTCATACATATGATCTAATTTGATTTAAAATGGGGCTAGATCTTCAGTGTTAGGGTAAGTGATTTTTTGGAAGCCTGCCAAGCCTCACCACTGCAGATTAACCTGGATTGTTGTGTCAAGTTCGCATCATTATATTTGGCACTGGCTTGCTAATACTGGAAGAAGCCATGGTGGGCACTGTCTGGGTTACAGTTTATTTTTTCTACCCAGCTAAGTTTTCAGTGGCTGACTAGAGATTGTGGTCAAGGCAGCTTTCTACTGAATGATTAAGACTTTTATATGACTTCCTAGACACCTGGATAATCAGTTTGGCTGCAAAATGTGCTTCCAGATTCGCATAGGATTTTAAACAAATGAAAGAAAGAGAATAAGTTTGCAGTATGAAGTGTGGTTAGACTGGGTTCTAAAGTGGGCGTATGTGATGTCTGATACTGGAGTTTTGCATGCATGAGAGATTAAGCTTCTGCTGAAGTCTTTTTCAGTCTTTCAGATTTTGAGAGTAATTTCCTTTTTTTTTTTATCATAATAATCAGGAAAAAAAATTTGAGCACCTCAAGTAAATATTCGCCCCCCCCCCGCCCAACTTTTATGTTTACGTGTTTCCAGTTACAAGTGTAAGCATAGAAAGGATAATTTCAAAAAAGTGAAAAGAGTTGAAAACAGGTGGTACTTGTTTTACAGTGCAGTAGCCTCAGTTGTTTAAAATCTTCTGTAGTGTACACTTGATTCCCTCCTTACTGGTGAATTTCTTGGAATATCTAGAAGTCCATATAACTAAAAATTCTTCTTGAGTTTGTACTGTAGAGAGAAAAAGCAATCTCATATCAAGTTAACTATAACTGGCTTAAAAAAAAATTCTAAAATGTTTAGACATCCATTACAATAGCAACCAAATTATGATTTCAGGAGGGTTTGTTATTCTTAAATTGATTTTTATTTTTAAGCTTGAATCAGAATTTGTGTGCTGATGCTGGTAGCCCTAGAGCTCGCTCACATTTGTAAAGTTTGCCAGAGCCCTTGTTGGCAGCTGTTGTAGTCTGCTATTAAATTTAGGTTTAATAAAATTTAACTGGAAGGGAGTTAGGAAGTTGCCTAAGCTACCTTCTCTTATCCTTGTCAAACTCTTTATGTCTAGGTCTTAGTACGTAACTTTCTAACATCAAACTAACTTCAGCATTTACTGGATAGAGGGAGAGAAATACAAGACATTAGGGTTATTTTGCTCTTACGAAACATATTTCTTGGGTTTTTTGCCATAAAATTTCTGTCATTTTAACTTCAGTTCATGCCTGTTTTTTCCTTGTGAACTAATATGGACAAAGTCCTCTTGCCAAGCCAGCTGGCCTCATACTGGTTTTGCAGGATTCTTTGTTTTTGAGCTTCTACCTTAATTTTGTGATTTAAGAACTTCCGCAGGTTGAGTTGGTCTTGCTTTCGAAAGGGAGTTACACCAAAACATTTCTCTCTTCAGACATTTATTCTCAGAGTATGAATATAAAAGGAATGATGTTAGTAGAGTGGTATAGCTTATATCAATAGAAATTCTATATGGATGCAAAATTTAGGTGAAGTCTTTCACTTGGGTAGCAAAGTGAAATGGAATCACCCCTGGAAAGGTTGTACAAGGCTAACAGGAGTAGAGAGAGGAAGTATCACTAAGGATACAACCATTGACCCTGATAAATGCAGGAACAGATTACTTGAGTAAGGAATTCTCCCTTACAAATTTTAACATCTGCTTTCTAATAGCAGAAATAGTGCCTTTTTCTTATTTTTAGCTATTCTCATTGAGACTTCAATCTCCAAAAGTTTCTCAGCTTATATATAAAAGTATTCATGAGGTATTGCTTGGGGTGGTAGCAGCTATCAGGTCATGGAAACTCAGAAGATCTCCAGTCTAGATGTTATCCTGCCTTCTTCCTCAAGTCTCAAACACAAGGCAAAGAGTTTGCTGTGAGCTTGTTGGCAGCTATTGTGTGTGTATGGGATAATAGTCTGTGCTCACGCATTTAAGGACACACATTTTTAGCTGTATTGTGGCATTGTTCTTTCTAATGCCAAATATAAAATAGCTATAACAGAATTTAATTGGTAATGCTTCTTGGCAAGTAATTTGTATTTCTCCAGGTTTAGCACCAGTGTAAAAGACTTAATAACCTTTGACAAATCTGAATTCTACAGTCTTTTTTTGAATTATGAAAGGGGAGTGGAAAGGGTGCCTTATGTTACAACCTCTGGGTTGTCTTGAAGGCCTCACATAAATTAAATCGGTGGAATTTTGTATGCTTACATCTGATGGACAAGAGCTACCCCTTTCTGGTCCTAGTCTGATCAAAGTAAATCTTTCCAATTAAAAAGCTAAATGGTGGGGTTAAACATCATACCTTGCAACTACAGTGCTGAAATTCTGAGGTCCATAGGTGACACCACTTTTTCCATGCATAGGGGAATGTGTGCAACACCCTTACTGTACAGCTGGACATACACCATGTATACCATGCAGCTGTTTCCTTAATCACTGAATTTAAAGCATTTGCCCCTACTAGGTGTGGTGCATTGTGTAAAATAGGCACATGCTTCCTGCTTGCAGCCTGCTCCCACAGGACTCAAAAACAGGAAAGTGAATATAGTTAAGAGACAGGCTGCTCCTCGCAGAGTAAATGCTGTTGGCTGGTATTCAGAGCCTCAGACTTGGGCTGAGCAAGCTGTAACTTAAATTAATGCAGGTGATAAGTCTGCTTTCAACTGCCATTTTCCTGGGACAGCCATCAGCTTTCCTCCTCTGCTTGATCGGAGATGTGCCAAAAATATGGAGAGAGGGGTATGCTTGGCTGAAGGAAAGAAAATGTCCTAAAGCACTCTGCCACTGCAGTTTGTTCCTACGAAACTCTCAGGGAAGAAGACTCTTCAGAGTGAGCTCTTGTGTCCTGCTAGTGGGCTGCCAAAGCCAGAGTCCCTCATATTTAAATTAGACTGGACTTTTAGTCGTTACTGAAGTAACAGAGCATTTGGCAAAACTTCCACTGGTCTCTGCAGATCTGGTTTGCTAATCTAGAATGATGGAACTTAATTTTTAACATATTTGGGGCCAATTCACTTTCTCTTATGAGGAAACAATTTTATTAAGTTGTAGATCAGCTGAGATATGATCCTCACTCCAGTGAGGAGGTCAAAGCCAGAATTTAGATTTTCATCTGTGTGTTTTAGTTTGCTACAGTCTCTTCTGGGAAAAATACACTGTGAACTTCATTATCAGGAGAAAAAAGGGGTTTTTTGTTGAGGATGAAGTAATCCACATAATGCTGTAAGTACTTGTGATAGACTTTACATAGAACTGAAGTTGGTATGTGAGGGAGTTTGTGTATATTTTCCGTATTCTTATTAATAATAATTAATTCTTATTCATCATAAAAGAACACAAAGTGTAGTTTCAGGTAAGGTATGTGCCAAAAGCATTTTGGCTAATGAATTTTATAGGCAGAATGGGTTAAACAGCCCTGAAGTTCTCCATAATCTAGGGATAAACAGGAAGCTGCCTGTGTAACTTGCATGCCAGAACACTAGCACAGAAAAGAAGGGCTACTGCATCTGCTGCTTTTCTCACTGTCAAAAAGTCTGCTAATGGTGGAAATCCTTGCTTCTCTACAGATTTGTAGCTCTCTTTTATGCTGTCATCAGTATACAAGAAAATGTAACACTGCCTGAAGTGTAAGAAGGGTGAGGGAATAGAGGCTTTTGGGGGACACAACGTGGAAGTATTAACTTGCTGGGATTGTTGAATAGCACAATATATAACTAGAGTATAAAATTGCTAGATCTGTCTATTCCTTCCCTAGCCTGCCTTTTTATTTCCATTGCTGCGCATGAACTTAACTTGTGAGGGACTTGGTTTTATGCCGTAAGCTGTCAAGGGAAATTCCTCCTTTCCTTCAGTACTGATGTAATCCCTCATAATACTGGTACTGATGTAATCCTTCATAATACTGTGGCCATCGTGGGAGTTTTTCAGTCCTATTGGTCCACCTGTGGTGCTAGCAGAAATGGCTATATCAGGTAAACTTTATCTGTTTTGTCACGCTGTATGGTAGCGGGGTTTTGATTAGGGGTTGAATGGGTAGAAAGAAGGGTAAGAAATGTAGGTACTTTCAGGTGTTTGCCGTGGATTGCCAAAATAGTAACTTCCAGTGGGTTAAGCAGGGCTGCAGCACTCCTCCAATACGGGAAAGGTGAAATGGTTATATGTAGTTAATAATTTGCTGCTAGTATACAACTTTATGTAAAATTCACTTACCCCAACTACTGTCCTGTTCTCTGTCAGATCTCAGATGGAAGCAGAGTTAAACTGATGCAGCCACTACTTGGTTTGCTTCGTAACTGGAGACTGTTCTGGGGAATCCTGCTGCTGCTCCCCTGCAAAATCCAGAAAGCAAATGAAAAGCTTGGAATTCCGAAGACAAGGGATTTGTGGCCAATAGCAGTACTGTAGCTAGCAATACCTTCACCTAACATGTATTATGGCCAACAGCACTGGTGTGGCAATACTCTTTTACAGATACAGGTGAGGTTTGATAAACCCACAGGATTCAGTTGGCCTTTACTCATTTGGAGGGGATCAGGCTTAATGCTGAATTCGTGCTTTTAATCAGCAGAGGCTCCTCAGGTGAGGTATAGTTTTTCTTTAACTTCGTTCAGCTTGATGATGCACTGTCAGAAAAGGGGTGATTTGCTGTTAACTTCTAAACTTGTATGGCAGTCAGTGGAATATGGCTAATTGTGCAGTTTTAAACTAATAGCTCTGAATTTTCAAAATCTT